GAAGTGTGGGGCCAGGGCTCGGGAAATGTGGCTCAGGGCTGAGGATGTGGACCTGAGTAGGAGGAGCCACGAGAGGGGCGGGGCGCCCTGGCGGGAGTGCGGAGTTCAGCATCTCAGGCAGGTTCAAGCATCTGTCTGAACAGCTGGGGCCCTCTCTTCACTCAGGGACCGTGCCTCTTCTGCTCAGTCAGCTGTGCCCCTTGGATACTACCTCTGTCCCTCATCTTACGTGCTTTCAGTTCAAATGCTGACCTGGCCTAATCCTGCTTGCCTTGTGAGCCCTAATGGGGTCGAAGTCCCCTGGGTAGAAAGCAACAGGCTAACACTTGGTTTTATGTTTAATGAAACGGAGACACCTAATACGGGCTGCAGGGAGGAGGGTCAGGGAGAGTTGTGGGAGACTGAGCTTGTGCCTGGTGCCTCCCTCCTGACCCTCTCATAAGGCCCACCAGATTCCAAAGCTCCACCTTCTCAGCTGCTCCCCGGATTTTCCGGGCAGCTTATCTTCCTCTTTTTTTACCACATGAACTGTCCAGAGAACCATTTGCTCAGGACTCCCATGGAGAGCCCACAGACTCGTCAAACTAATTAGTTCCAAGCTCAGGGCCAGGTGTGGGAGAGACAGAAGCGGAAAGGCCGGGTACGTACCGGAAGAGCTTGAGCTGAAATGTGCTGAAGTGTGGCCAAGGGCATTTCAGGCAGGGTGGTCTTGGGGGCCATGAAAGCGCCCCAGGTATGGGGGCCCCTCACCCTATCTGTGCGCAGGGCTGACTCACCCCCTTCCCAGCAGAAACCATCCCATCAAAACATGCACATGCATAATTTATTTACCTCTCCAGTCTCTAGCATGCCAGCGAGGAGCCGGGGTGAGAAAAAGAAAAAGGAATAAAATGAGTGTAAGCACGGTGAAGGAAGGGCTCAGCTGGTTAAACAAGACTTATGATTACTGTCATTAGTGTTCAAGAGACTTCCAACCTGATGCGGCATTAAACGGACAGATTGTGTGTGTGTATGTGTGTGTCTGGATAAAGCATACATTAGGAGAATGAGACATCCAGACCAAGTGGCCAGTCGGCATGGGGGTTCAGGAAATTCCCTGTCCAGCTTGTTATCCAACAGACACCTGACATTGATTTGCTTCCTGATGGACAGTGTAAGGAGGAAAGCCGATGGAATGCAAACGTTACCATTAAGTTGTTCAGGTCAGAGCAGCCCGGCTGCCCTGCAAAGCTCTCTCCTCATAAATTCTGCGGGCAAACCCTGCCTGCTCCCACAGCGGGTGGCGGGGAGACTTATTAAAGCTCTCTCTTCTTGGAGAAGTTGGATTGAATGCTCTGCAGGCACAAACAACAGCCACAATACAATTTACGGTTAGCCTGTTGTTTCTAGGTTCCTTACTCTCCGAACTGAAGATGTATTTTGAGCGGGGATTAGGGGGTTGTTAACTAGTCGGTGATCACCAGCTGCAGGGCTCCCATACCCTCAGGTAGTGCTCAGACAAGCTCCGTTACTGCAGCGACATCTAATGGCCAGAGAAAGCAACGCACGTTTGCATTTTAAAGCAGTCTGTGGTTCTGTTTTGGGGAGTTGATTCTTTTTAAGTAGGCGGGACAAGGTATTAGTGTTTATTAACTCCTGTAAAATAACACTTTGATCGCAACCGTAAGATTTCGCTTCCCGTATCTTTGGATGACATTTATGTTGTCATTCATAACTGGATGCTGATCATATATTGTGAAAACCATGCAATTGCCTCTTTGGATTTTTTTGGTTTTTTTTTTACAACCATCATGACTTTGCACTTATTTGAAAGCTTCCTGTTGAAGCTCTGTGTATGCATTATGCATAAGGTTTCCATACAAGGGAAAATATGATCAAATTTACCCCCAAATACCCACTTCTAGTGTACAGCAGATTGTTGTGGTAGGTATATATTCTAGAGTAGAATGTAGTGGTGGCTAGATTACCCCATAAGAGGTCATTGTTCTAGCTCTCAGGTGGAAAAAGGAAAGCTAAAAGTTTACAGAGAAGACTGAAACCTCCACCCTCACATTTAGATGTCAGTGAATTTCATCTGAAACCCTTTGTGATATTGTGATGTATAATAAGAAATATATACTTGGTCTTCGTCCCCATTTCTGGCATAGAGCTCCTATAATCCTTGACATTACCTAAGTGATGAGAGCAATAAAGGTGCCTTGATATTCATAACAAACCCCTTTCAACCAAGTCTGAGTTTATGTTAATGCAGCGACTTTTGGAAAGCACCTAAGGATGGGGCCTGGTTGCCAGTAATCTAGTGAGTCAACTGGTTTCCTGAGTTCTGTGAGACACTCTAGCAAATTAATTGAATCCAAGGATGGGGCTGTGGGAACCTCTAATTTATACTTCAGAAGCACAGGTGACAACCTGGACTTGACATCGGCATTTGAAGTGGGGGGATAGTCTTGTGGGACTGAGCCCTTGACCTGTGAAATCTGATGCTGTCCCCGAGTAGAGAGTGTCCGAGTTGAGTGGAATTGTAGGACACTCAGCTGCCGTTGGAGACTTCCTTGGTGTAGGGAAAAAACCCACACACCGGAGTTGGTCCTAGACTCTACCCTTTCTCACTGACTGCTCCAACCCCCAGGCTCAAAGCTCTGGGTTTGAGCAGGCTTGCTATGGGGAGGAAGTGAGCTCACTAAACCTTGAACTCTGCATTAGGAACACTAAATTATAAGAGGTGCCAGAAAGTGCTGGCGAGACGCCTCTGGCTCTACTATTTCAAAAAGCAATCCTCAAAGCATGGAAGCCAGTGATATAAGCCGCCTTAGTTTCATCCATCTTCTGATGGCCAACAGCGAGAGCCCATTCTCACTCCTGACAGGAAGATAAATTCCTAGGGCCAGGATGTTAAAAAAAAATGAATAAAAAACTTGTAGTATATCGTACCTCCTTCCCACTCAACCTCACCCTGGATTTTTTTTTAAGAAGCTATCTTTTTTAGAAAGAGCATAATTATCATATGAAGAAATCAACTTTTATAAGAGTTAACCATATGAAGTTGCCCTCTGGGTATGTCAAAAAGGTAGGATGTTGGCAATGTCATACGGTTCAATGTAAAGAAAGAAGACTGAAGCTATAGGGGAGATATACAGTATTCCTGAATAAAGATAGAATATTTTACATAAATTATTCCAAGTATATAGGTTGAACATAACTCCAGTCATAATCACAAGGTAGTTCTAAAGTTCATCAGGAAGAACAAGTGACTGAGAATAATCAAGGAAATGTTGAAGAGAAGAGTGGTGAGGGGGTAGATGCCCTGTCAGACACTACAAGGTATTACAAAGCTATAGGAATTGAAATAGTGTGGCACTGGCACGAGGACAGACTGACAAATCTACAGCTCAGAATACACAGCCCCAAGACAGACTCTAGAACATATACAAATATCTAGGATGTGGTAAAAGTCGCAGCACGGAGTAGTGGGGAAAAGAGATTATTCCAAAAATAGTGCTTAAACAATTGGTAAACTATTTTTTTTTAAAGTCAGATGATTACCTCACATCATACCTCAGGTAAATTCTAAATAAAGTGATAAGTGTAAAAATTACAACAAAAATATTTAAAGAACTATATAAGTGAAGAGTCATATGATTGTGGGATGGGGTAGGCCTTTTCCACAGAAGAGCAAAGTCAGAAACCAAAAAATAGTAATATATATATATATATTTGCATAAAAATTTAAAAATATGTATAATAACATAAACAGTATTAGAAGCCAACTGTCAAACTGGGAAAAATGCATGCAGTGTATGACAAAGGGTTAATATCTTTAACATATAAAGACTTCTTACCAATTAGTAAAAAAAGCTGAATAGCCTAGAAAAATAGGCAATGGACACAGAAAATTTACAAAGAAATACAAAGGACAAATTGATATATGAAAAACATGCAATTTGCTTATAATCAATGAAATTCAAATTAAAGTAATGTGTCAGCATTTTCCAGCTATTATTAGGTTCACAAGGATTTAGAAAGTGATAGTCATTACAGTTGATAGGAGTTGAGATGGACCACCCCACTCACTGCTGGTGCAGGCGTAAACTTACAGCCTTTCTGGGGTGCAAACTTCATTAAGAGCCTTAGAATTATTTTTATCTTGTGGCCTGTATTTCTAGGAATACAGCTAAAGGGTGTCATCACAAATGTGAAAAAATACAAGGGCTTTCACTGTGGTGTTATCGTACTGAAGCATTAGAAACAGCCTGAATATTAAAAAACAGAAATTGTTATTTATGGAACGATGGAGCCAGAGACTGAAGTTGTATTGCCACAAACCAAGGAATGCTTAGGGCTACCAGAAGCTGGAAGAGACAAGGAAGAATCCTCCCCCAGAGCCTTCAAAAGGGGCATGGCCCTGCCAACACCTTGATATTAAACTTCTAGCCTCCGGAACTTTGAGAGAATAAATTTGTTTTTTATTTTTTTAAGTTATGGCACGTCCATATGGTGGAATACATGTGATAATTAGAAAAGATGCTCTTAATACTTGATGGTCTGAGGCACTATCCGTTATAAAATAAGTGAAAATAACAGATATTAATTTTTATATATAGTAGGAATCCAGTTTTGTGAAAAATAACTTTCCATATGCATATATTATATACTTATATTTATGCACACACACATATGCGTACACATATGAACATACACAGAAGTAAAACTATTAATCATCATAATGCATAGGTGTTGGGCTTATAGGTAATTATTATTTTCTTTTTTGTATTTTTCTGTATTTCCCAAATTTTCTATAATCTATGTGCATTCCTTTTTTTTTTTTTTTTTTTTCCCGGTACGCGGCCCTCTCACTGCTGTGGCCTCTCCCGTTGCGGAGCACAGGCTCCGGACGCGCAGGCTCAGCGGCCATGGCTCACGGGCCCAGCCGCTCCGCGGCATGTGGGATCTTCCCGGACCGGGGCACGAACCCGCGTCCCCTGCATCGGCAGGCAGACGCTCAACCACTGCGCCACCAGGGAAGCCCTCCTTATTTTTTAATTGTGGTAAAACACACATCATAAAATTGACCATTTTAACCATTTTTAAGCGTATGTACATTACTCTTAAAATGAGGAATAATGGCTTTTATAAATGGGCATGCACTAAGCAGGCTTTAAACTTGCATCTACGTTAAACTTACAATAACGTGACAATTTAAAAAATGTGTTTGGACAAAGGACAGGAAAGGAACGCAACCCAGAGGGATGAAAAGTTTGATGGATTGGAGCAGCAGAATTGGGTGTAATTGTGACGTGTATTGTTCTGAGGCAGTTTTTCTTTATAGGTTGAGATAAGTACTTGCAGGCTTTTTAGTGCTGAGGTAAGTGAGGCCTGGCCTGGCCTGGCAAAGAAAACCACATGGGGAAGCCGGTGGGGGGCGGGGGGCACTGAGATAGCAGAGGGACAAGTTAGAGACATGGGGAAAAACAAACTCAGTGGGGACTGATCATTTAAAATTAGATTCAACTCCCCCAAATTAATATCCAAGCAGCTCTTCAGGAATACATCGATTGTATAAATCAAGATTTGCCCGGAAGAGGCCAGGGAGGCAGGCAAGCCTGTGGATGTGGAGTCTGAAGGGAGGCTGGTGGAGAGTGAGCAGGGTTCAGGGCAGATGCGAAGCCTTGCTTGATTCTGAGTCCACCGACTCCCACCCCTGCCCTGTGTGGACCTGCCTGTAACCCCCAACCTTACTTGGACTACTCTGATTTTTCTTTGATCAAAATCGGCTGATTCTAGGCTAAGCCAATTCCTCTCTTTGAGACCTCAGATATCAGGCTTTTGTCTCTGTGGTCTGTGAGTCTTCCTAGGTAACAATTAGGAAAATGCAGGGCCGATCCCACTAAGACACCGGCCCATTTCAAATGCAGTTACTGCCTCAGCAGGGGAATCAGGGACTACTGGCCCCTTGCTATTAATAATTCCTGGCTTATTTTGGTTCTTTCCATCTGTTTCACTGAAGTATGGACAGGCTATGAAGGCAAGGGTGCCCTGTCCTCGCTGTGGAGGCCGCCTTGATGTAACGGGCAGTGGCAGCTATGAAGAGAGGAAAGAAAAGTGCTTTATACAAGACTAAAAAGCAGAGGATGGGAATGGGGAGGCGGCTTGGGCTCGAGTCCATTGCCCTGAGGTTAGCAGCAGAAATGCCACGGAGTGAGGGTTTGCAGAGTGTTTGTATGAGCAGTCATGAGCTCCTTGGAAACCTGGCATCGCTCAGGCTCCATGTTCTTTGCTGTTGTTACCCACCCACAAACACTGCAAGCCATCCCTCCCGCATACCCACAAAGCCCCCCAAACATAACTCTTCACCTGCATCTTTCTCTTCACCGTGTCGAAGGGAAAGGAGAGTGTCTGGGTCACCGCGGCAGCCAGGCAGACATTGGCGAAGTTCTGGAGGAGAGAGAACCGATCTCGGGGTCCATTCCAGATTTTCTCCAGGTTCATGTAAACTAGAAGGGAGCCGGCAGAGAAAGGGAGAGCACCTGAAAAACAAGGCCAGGGAGAGGCTGTGATGTCTCAGGAAACACTGGCTTGAGAACATAAATGCCTGTGGGGAATCCAGGGAAAGTAAACAGGACCGGCTCTGGGCTTGTTAAACAAGTCACTCCAACCGTAGCAGCAAGCACTTTCTTGGGTGATGATAACGTGCTATATTTTGATACGGGTTGTGTCATTGATCAAAATGCATGCATCAAAAGATTCCCTAAATATTTGTGTACTCTATGTCGATTTTACTTTTAAAAGAGCCATAAACAAATATTGAACTCTAGTTAATGATATGCATGTTGAAGGGTTGAGGGGTGAAGTGTATTGATGTTTGCAACTTACGTGGAAATCATCAAAAAATATATGACTGATGAATGGTTAGAGGGACAGATAAAGCAAAACATTAATTGAAGGAGTGGGTACATAGGTGTTTCCCATGTTTAATTTTTAATTAAAATTTAATTAAAATTTAATTAAAAATTTAATAAAAATTAAACATGGCAATGTTTAATTTTTTAAAATTAATTTTAAATTTATTTTTTTAATTAATTAATTATTGGCTGTGTTGGGTCTTTGTTGCTACTTGCGGGCTTTTCCCTAGTTGCGGCGAACGGGGGCTACGCTTTGTTGCGGTGCATGGGCTTCTCATTGCGGTGGCTTCCCTTGTTGTGGAGCACGGGCTCTAGGCATGCAGGCTTCAGTAGTTGTGGCTCGCGGGCTCTAGAGTGCAGGCTCAGTAGCTGTGGCGCACAGGCTTAGTTGCTCCGTGGCATGTGGGATCTACCCGGACCAGGGCTCGAATCCGTGTCCCCTGCATTGGCAGGCGGATTCTCAACCACTCCGCCACCAGGGAAGCCCCTCCAATTCTTTTTTTTAAAAATTTATTTTATTGGAGTATAGTTGATTTACAATGTTGTGTGAGTTTCTGCTGTACAGCAAAGTGATTCAGTGATACATATATATTCTTTTTCATATTCATTTCCATTATGGTTTTTTACAGGATATTGAATATAGTTCCCTGTGCTATACAATAGGACCTTGTTGTTTATCCAGGCTGTTTCCAATTCTCTTAACTTTTCTGGGTGTTTGAATTTAAAAAAATAGAGTGTTGGGGAAAAAATTCACTCCTACGAAAAAAAAAGTTAGTGGGCGGTACTTAATCAAGTTTTGGAGACTAGGGGGGACCTGATCTCTAGTTGAGAAGGAGACATTCTGTGAAACCTGAAGAGTGAGGTAGTAGGAGATGTGGCCATATCAGGGCTCAGTGTGTACCCTGCACTGTATGGCAGCCTCACCTTTCTAGGAAAAGATGGTGAGCAAGTAGTGCAGTAGTTGGCACCTTGAAACTTACAGAAACTTTGGGAGCAATCTGAAGTTTACGCAGGGACTAAATTTCTCCCTCAAAATGAGATTTAAAAGAGGGGCTAACACTAGTGGGGTTGCTCATCTTTAGAAAAATGTAATATTTATTTAATAAACACATTAAAAATGACGCACCAACCCTACATTTTCCTTCATTCAGAAAACATCTGTGGAGCTTATGCTATGTGATGGGCCCTATGCCAGGTGCCAGGAATATACAGAGGTGTAAGTAGGCTAATTCCTGGAGATGCTCACCATCTAGTGGGAGAGACAGACAGATGACATATGCCATAGTAAGGGGGCTATACAAAGTGCTTTAGGTACACAAGGATCAGAGGGATTAATTTTGCCTGGGGGAATCAAGAAGGACTTCACAGAAGAGAGAACTTTTCAACTGGGTGTTGAGGAATGAGTAGGAGTTCATCAGACACTGGGAGAGCAGGCAGAGGGAACAGCATGTACAAAGAGAGTGGCGTTTCCAAGAAATGCAAGTATTTCTAGATGGCCAAAGCAGGAGTGCAGGTAGAACGTGACAGGAGATGAGGTAGGAGGGGCTGGCAGGGCCAGGTCTGAAGGGTCTAGTATGCCACAAGGAATCTGGGCTTTTCCCTGTAGCTCACAGGAGTCAGTGAAGGCTTTTAAGGAGGGCAGTGGAAAGAGGTTGGTGAAATGATCAACTTGCACTTAGAAAGATCATCACACCCTGGCAGCAGGGCACAGGGCGGACTAGGGCAGCAGAGACCCAAGACTGGGACTAGGTAGGAGCCTCTCATAAGTGTCTGCAGGAAAGATGATGATGAGAGTGTGACCTATGGCAGAGAAGATGGGGATGGAGAAGGGGGCAGACTTGAGAGTTAAAAGAGGTGAAATTGACAACACTTGTGGCTGAAGTGGGAGTGGAGTGAGAGGAGGAGTTGAAGTTGAAGTGCTTCTAGGTTTCCTCTGGCTTGGGCCACTGGATGAAAGAAAGGCGGTCTTGTTCATTAGGGAACACAGGAGGGGGGCAGGTGTGCAACTAACGAGGCCATCAGGTTTACTCTTGACTTCAGTAAGCCAAGGGAGCATCAGGTGAGGGTGTCCAATAGCAGGCATTTGTACTGCCATTGGGAAGTGGTAGTAGTCAGTGGTTAAGAGAGAGGGCTCTGGGGTTATATTGCTAGATTCTTCCACTTTCTATCTGTGACCTTGGGCAAGTCACTTAGCTTCCCCAAGCATCTATTTCATCTGTAAAATGAGGCTTAAATGAGGAACTGTAAGCAAACCATTTAGCATAGTGCCTGGCACATAGTAAACTGCAATAGATGTTAGTCGTTGTTATTATAGAGATGAGATTGGGAGTCATTAGAGTATAATGATGCTTGTTCAAGCCACTAGTTTAGATGAGGCCACCCAGGGAGGGTATGGAGGGTGAGAAGAAAGCTAAGGCAGGAGCTGGGGGATAGTGACACACAGGGGGCTGGCATCGTCAGATGAGCCAGATAAGAAAGAGCTGCAGAGAGGTGGGAAAGACATCTAGGAGACAGTGGGGTCCTAGAAGCCAAGTTTCCAGAATAGAGTGATCGATCTCATCAAATGCTGCAACAAAGGTCAGATAAAAGGCAAAAGTCTACTGGACTGGCAATTGGGGGTCCTGGTGACCTGTAGCCCTGGCAAAGGTTCCAAAGAACACAGAAGCTACAGTTGCTACGCTGGTTGTGTTCATACGTGTACCGATGCACGCAGAGACTCTTTGCTGCAGTCAGATGGGGAGTGTGTGGGACTGTCTTCTTATCAATCTGTACTGAGCCACATGCACTCTGTCCTACTCCCTCCCTGGGATATAACAGACCAGAGTTAGGAGTGGGGTATATGGCTATGGAATAGAATGAAGCTAATGGACTCTGTGTGGATTGAAGCCATATGACCTTGAACTCGGTTAAATGGATGTAACTGGTTACAAACAAAGGTATACAATACACTCATATATATATATCCCTTGAACTCAGTAAAATGGATTTAACTGGTTACCAACAAAGGTATACAAGTCATTTGCATGTATCAAAGAACACAGTCTTTTCTTGGACAAGGTGAAAAGTTCCATCTTACCTAAAATAGTAAGGGAAACCCCTCGATAAAGGGCCAGGAACCCTTCCTGTTGATAAATAGTAGAAAAAGCATGGAGGATCCCCCTGTAAGATGGTTCCAGCATGTTCTGCACAATTAACCGGGTTTTGATGAGGTCTGTAGGATATGTCACGATGGTGGAAACCATGCCCGCAAGACTCCCAGCCATGATGGACCTCCACTGGGAGATGTGGCCCAGGTCATCCGTGAACAGCACAACAAACCTGGGAGAAAATAGGGAGAAAAGCCCAAGGGAATCAGCCATGGATTGTGCTAGAGTGCTCGATGCTACTTACTGCACCATTTCCCTGCATTTGGAAACGCTTTACAAAATGAAAATTACTAATGTATTAGGATTAATGAATAACACATTCAATTCTACACATTCAATTATGCTCATAGTAATGAATATAATTCTAGTTATATAAAATTAGCTGTTATAGTTTATATAACATCTATAAGGAAGAGATACCTAACCCTCTTATTTCTATCTACCCTAAGTCCTCACTTCATTTCAAGCATTTCCCCCTTTTATCTGCATAACTGTCAACCCTGGCTTGCCTGTGGGGTGTAAATGAACAGAAATACTTGGTAAATACGGAACTGGAATGTGCTCCTTTGATTCTGTTGCAACGTAAATGAAATTGCTTGAAACGATGACTTTGAGCATCCCTAGTCATTGAGTTTTTTTTTTTTTTTTGTCATTGAGTTTTAAAAAATATATTGGTTTAATAGTTATAAGAGAAGATGTACCACCCCACCAACTGTCAGGGAAATAACAAATAAAAACAATAACACAATACCACTTCTCAACCAGCAGACTGGCAAAGATGAAAAAGTCTGATAATATCAAGTGATGGTGAGAAAGTGTGGAAACAGGAATGCTCACCCACTGCTGTGAGAAGTGTAAATTGGCAGGTCACTTTGTAGTATCTAGTAAAATTGGAAAAATGCCTACTTTCACCCCAGCAATTCCATTTCTAGGTGCATATCCTAGAGAAACTCTTGCACGGGTACATATGAAGACACATACAGCATTGTTTGTAAGTGAAATCGAACCATCTAAATGTCTATCTGTAGGGGAATGGATAAACTGTAGAACAGCGATACAATGATACTTTAGTTTAAATGAATGTGCTTAGAACTATGTATTTACACGGATAAATAGTAAAAGCATAAAGCTGAGTGAAAATAGCAAGTTGTAGAGTGACCTATGGTGTATGATAACCATTTGCAGCCATCTCTGTATATCCACAGGTTTCAGGACCCCCTACGGATACCAAAATCTGCAGGTGCTCAAGTCGCTCATATAAAATGGTATACTATTTGTCCTCTCGTATGCTTTAAATCATCTCTAGATTACTTATAATTCCTAGTACAATGTAAATGCTATGTAAATAGTTGCTGGAGTGTGGCAAATTCAAGTTTTGCTGTTTGGAACTTTCTGGAATTTTTCCCCCCAAGTATTTCCAATCTGTGGTTGGTTGAATCCATGGATGCAGAACCCGAAGATACAGAGGGCTGACTACACTTAAATTAAGAACCACATCCACAAAACCATATATTACACCAATCATGGATAGATATAGATACATATACAAAAGTATAAAATAGACCCCCAGGAAGGTGGAGAGTGGATGGGACTGGGAATCAGAATGAAGGGGATTTCAGCTTTATCTGTAATATTTTACTTCTTGTGTAAAAAAAAGATACTTGAAGTATGTTTTAAACTAATTATCTTTCATGCTGTCAATTCTGCATGGTGGGTATATGAATGTTTGCTAGACTATTCTTTGTGTTTCTCTGCAGTTTCACAATTTAGTAAAGAAATGGCTTTGGGTGGACTTTTCTAAATGCAGAATAGAAAGCCACTCTGTTACAATCCCTCTTTCTGGAAGCAGTGCATCCCCAGGCATGAGGGCCTACCTCGGCAGAAATTGTTCTAAGGGGCCTTTTACATGGTGCACGTTCCCTGGCCAGGAAGCAAAGGAATTTTACTCATTCTTGCTGATGAGGACAAAATTAAAAAAAGGGCTTGGAAACCAGGAAAAATAATATTTTCTGTCGGAGGGTGGGGAGGGGGAGAGGGAGAGGGATAGCAAGTATCTGAATAAAAAGAAAGTGAACAGAGCTAGGCTAAAATAAAAGCATTGTATCTTTTTAAAAATGAGAGCATCCCCAGTTCTTTGGCTTTCCAAGCTCCAGTGAAGCTGTGTATTTCCTGCTTTTTCACTTTGGCAGCAGGCCAGAGTTTATCTCTGATAAACAAGACGAGCCAGAGTTCAGGTGAAACCACTGAAGGGGTTCTAGGACCGCTCCTTTGCTCCCAAGTAAACACTGGTGGATTAAAAACATCTCCTTCAAGCTGTAGGAAAGTCTGGACTTCATTCTGTCACCCTACCTTAACTGTACCAGCTGAAACAGTCATTTGAGTGAACCAGCAACCTTTTAAAGATGCAGGTAACTAAGCTGGCATTCACCAGTGGGCCTTCCGTCTGCCTCGGTTTCGCTGCCTGCACACTCCCTCGATCCTCCCTCCTCCCTCCCCTGGCCAATAAGTGGCAGCGGGAACCTTAGCCAGGGGAGGGGAGACAGGAAGTGGAAATGCTTGGCTGGAGGGGTGGTCTGCAGCAAGCGGGAACCATCTAGAAGCAGCAGGAGTTTGAATGCCAAAAGAAACACCATTCATTCTCGTTGCCTCCTCCTTATTCCCCATCCCGCTCGCCACTCCCAGGGCGTTAATGCATCCATTCCCCAGTCACCGAACATCCACACTGCCAGACACTGCGCTAGCATTCAGCATAGATCTTAAGAGAGTTCAACAGCCCTGCCAAAGAGATGACTGATGGGGCAACAAGAGAGGCATTCGGCCCTTGGTTCTCTGAATGACTTGATGAACGAGGACGAGGAGTTCTGTCTTCTATGAGTTTGTTTTATAATGTAGGGTCTTGCTATCAAATATACAAAATTAAAAAGAACCAAAGCAAGTCCTTCCTCTCAGACTTTTACTATACGGAGACAAAGACTACAAATCGTTCCTCTTACAATCAGAGTCAAGGCAGGGCACCCCTGATAGGCCATCGATTACATCATCCTGGTCCCCACATCTTAAGTGCTTGTCTGACTGGGTGGGGCAGCAGTGTTCCCCTTTCTGCTCTTCCTCCCACTCCTACACACTGCACAGCAGCTTGTTCCAGCGAAACTGGATAAGCTGGTGAGCAGCAGTAACCCCTTCCTTTCAGGCACATGGCTATTACACACACCCTGAATGTATGTAGGTAGAACTGCCAACACTTCAACCTAACACAAGTTAGCAGGCAAACACAAGCTCATGAATCGATTACACAATAAGGAAATGGTGTTGGTTATGAGCAATTTCAGAGTTTCAGGGACCCAAACCAATGTTTATACAGCTACGCAAACAGTTGTGGCATAAAGTTGGGTGAGGGTCTACTATATGATGTATTTGAAAGCCATCCATTGTGTTAGGTTTTATTTGTTTAGCACAAGGACCTAGCTCCTAATAGACTCTACTGAGTGGATTCTTTTAACTGTAAATCCAAGTAAGGAGACACTTCAGCTCACAATGTTGGGCCGAGCCCTGCATTAAGGAGCTAGAAGACCTGGTTTCAAGCTCCAGCTCTGCCATTAATTGTGTTTGTGGACAAGTCACTGAACCACTCCATTTTCTGAACATTCTGGAGGTTTATGCTTAGTTCAAACCCATAATCATAGGCTGTACCATTACCCCCAACCAACCGTTTTGCAAATTCCTGGTCAGGAGGGTAGAGATTAATCAGTATAATGATGGCCCCAAGGTCTTGTCTTTATGTAGGAAGGCTGGCACCATGATTAATCAACCACTTTGCTGTCTATCACTGAAATATTTCTTTTGAATTTCCAGAAAGAAACTAATCTTGCAGGAAAAAATTATTAGCAAACCTAGCCTGGGTAACTATCTGTTCTTCTTCTCCCACGCATCTCCTCTTCTCCACTCCCACTGTCATCAGCCTATTTCAGGTGCCCTCAGCCGCCACATGGACTAGTGCGACGGGTGGTCCTGCCACCCCCCACCCTTCCTCCTCTTTAGCCGTCCTCCATTGCTACCAGGTGACAATTCCTGTTGAATTGCTTTAATCACAGCACTCCCCCATCAAAAATCCCCCACAGCTACCCTTGCATTCCAAGTAAAGTCCAAACTCCTTAATCTGGCCCTCCAAGATCTCATTCCAACCTGCTTTTCTGGCTGTATTTCCCATTACAGCCAGAGACACACCTTATGCTCCAGTCACGCTGCATGCCTTCCCACCTCTGTGCCTTTGCTTGTGGCATTTTCTGCAGTATCTTTCTCCCCATCTTTGATGGAAAACTCCTACTCATTCTCCCAACACCAAACTCCGATGGTTTTTCTCCACTGTGACATCTTCACATCTTCTCCTCCTCCTCCATCATCAGAGGTGTGAATTGCTATAGCACTTTAACCTTAGCAATCACGTGCTATGGACACACTAGTCTTACTCTTTTGCTCTGTAAGCTCTGGGGCACAGGGACCATGCCCCTTTCATCTTGCATTGTCCCCAGCATCATGCACACCGTGATCACTTAATGAAGGCAGAGAGAAAGGCAGCAGGAAGTAACAGGGCATGGGCATTGGAGTCAGAAGGCCAGGTGGTGGAGCTCAGCTCTGTCACTGATGAGTGGTGTGGCCAATCTGAGCCCAACTGTGCATCTGGAAAGTGGGCATAATACTTCGTGCCCTGTGGACCTTACAGGGCAGGAGGCAGGTGTCGTAAAAATCCAACGATTTACACACACACACACACACACACACAGGAAATGGTAACTAGGTAGAGGTGATGGATACGTTAATTAGCTTGATTGTGGTGATCATTTCACAATGTATACATATATCAAAACATCAAGTTGTACACCTTAAACATACAATTTTTATGTCGATGATATCTCAGTAAAGCTGTTAAAAATCCAATGAGATGAAGTCAGCCCTCTGTATCTGTGGGTTCCACAACTAACTGTGGATTGAAAATATTCAGAAAAAAAATTCCAGAAAGTTCCAAAAAGCAAAATTTGAATTTGCTGCACATCGGCAACTATTTGCATAGCATTTACATTGTATTTACAGCGATTTATATAGTACTTACATTGTATTAGGTATTATAAGCAATCTAGAGATGATTTAAAGTGTACAGGACGACTGTATAGGTTACATGCAAATACTACTCCATTTCCTGTAAGAGACTTGAGCATCTGGGGATTTTGGTTGGGGGGCCGTGTCCTGGAACCAATGCCCTTCCGGATACGGAGGGATGACTGTATATATTCTAGATGGTTAGCAGCAAAGCCACAGTACTTAAACCAGCCTTTGAAGTTCTGCTTCCCTCCCCTTGGTACACATTCCAAAGGAGGAGTTCCATACTTTGTGGAGAGCAGAGTGAAGTGGGGAGAAACTGAGTCATTAAAATTCAGAGGAGAACTGTTTACAGACTGCAAGCCAGATGTTGCTGAGGGAAAGGGGGCTGGGGAAGAAAGAGAGCCTTGACAGAAATGCCCCACCATCTCACTACCCTCCCTTCCTAGAGAAAGAGAAGGCAACTCTATTCCCAGGCCCAGGTGAAATGTGCACTGGCCTCGAGGACTCAGTGATAAGGAAGATTCCATCGGGCTTGTTTGTCAGCTGTCAGGTGAGACTGCCAGCTCTGGCCTCCCAGAGCCAAAGGCAAAATGCTTTGACTGTTAGCCTCCAAGGCCGACCTATGTGGTCAAGACTGTGGGCTGTGTTTCTCTAATTCTGAGCCAAGGCCAGTCTTCCGAGTTGGCAGTGTGCCCAGCGAACAAGGAACACGGGGAACATCCCCCCAGCTGCAGAACTACCTGAAATTGCATCATTATCGCTTCATTCTTTTAGACTTTGTTTCCAGTTAAAATGCAGGTATCTCTGAGCTCTTGAGGAAGCTTTAAGAGTCATCTGGCATTACCTCTTTAGATGTTTTCCTAAAATGCAGCTGTTTTGGGGGGGAGGTGTTCAAAGCCCAAAGAAGGAGTCCAGGGAGCAGCGAGGTTGCAGCTGCATGCAGTTTGGGGAGGGGAAGCTGCAGCCTCTGTAGGACCCTAAAGTCCAGTTTCTTGGGGGGTGGGGAGCGCCGAACTCCGTGGCCTTTTTGTCGCAGTGGATTGGGCCCTGTGCCCCTACCAAGCACGTTCTTCTGGGGGCTCTGACACACTTCCATACACGCATCTTCAAAAGGGTCTCTCTCCCAAGCCAGCCAAAGCAAAATTTCCAAGTTGGCGGATGGTGGGAAGGATTAGGAGCCATCTCTCCGGAGATCTCTTCACTCCTTCCCTCCAAATCTCCTTTGGCCCCCTTCCACCTCCTCGCCCGACCAACCCGGTCAGCCTCTCCGGGCCAGAGCTGCGTCCCCACAAAACTGCACCCGGCGGGGCAGGAATCCCAAGAAAAGGTGAAAAGGAAAAGGTGGGGGCTGCGCTTTGGAGGCCGGAGAGGTTGCCTTCTGGCCCGAGGGGCTCCCACGCGCTCCGGAAGGGGGCTGTGGCGCGCCGCTGGCCGGATCCCGGGCACCCGGGCGGCGTCGGGCCGCGGGACCCCCGGCGGCGGCCTCCCGGGCCCCGGGCCCCGCCCACGCCGCCCGTGCCCGGCTCTTACTTGCGGTAGGCGGCCAGTTGAACGGCGCTGCAGGGGAAGAGGCGCAGGCAGGCCACCGCGTTCCCCTTCCACAGGGCGCGGGGCCCCTCGGCCCGCCAGACGCGAAGCCCCGCGCCCCACGGCCCCCGGGCGCGGCCGCGCACGACGCCGACCTGGGCCAGCACGGTGGCGAGCTCCAGCGGCGCGGTGAGGCTGAGGCTGAGCGTCCCCGCCAACCCCGCGCACAGCAGCCGCTGGCTGCCCGTCAGCCGGCCGTCCCGCCGCCAAGTCGCCATCGCGCGTCCCCGACCCGAGCCCCGGGCGGCCAGCAGATCGCGTGGCTCGGGCCTGGGGCTCCCGGGCTCCGGTGCGGGGGGCGGGCCAGGCTCCGCCCGGCGTAGGGCGGACCCGCGGCCCGGAAGGGAAGCCGGTCCGCGCCCCGGCCGAGCCGGCCTGGGGCCGGGGCGGGGTTGAGGATGCCAGCTCGGGGCTGAGGCCGCGCCGGTTTAATGTCTGCTCTTTGGCCGGTAGGTTTCTGTTTGCAGTTGAGAAGGTGTCACCGCGTTCTCTCAAGGCCTAGCCCGCTCCACTTCTTGCGTCCTGAATATTCAGTGCCCCCTCCACCGCCTTTTTTCCTTTCCACGTTCCACCTCGCCCCCTTCCTCCCCTCGCCTCTGTTCTCATCCCTCCAACCTTTTTTTCTGCCCCAGGAAAAAGCCTTACGGATTTCCCAGTGCAGAAGGGAAAAAACCTTCTTTAACATACACACGATATCAGACACTTGAATTAGGCTTTTCATACATTTACTCCTTTAATCCTCAAAACAGCCCTTAGTAGGTGTGTCCTCATTTATTGCTCTCAGTTGGAGAGGCTGTAGGTGTGGTGGTTAGGGCCTGGACTCCAACATGCGTTAGAATCTTGGCTCTGCAGTTTACCAGCTGTGTGACCTTGGGGAAGTCACTCAACCTCTCTGTGCCACAGTTGCTTCATCTATAATTTCTTCCTCTAGGGGTTGTTGTAAGTATTAAATGAAAAATGATGCAGGTAACACTACAGATGTGCTAGCCATGATTAGATGTTATTTTACAGAAGAGGAGACCAAGACAGAGAGATTGACTTGCTCTAGGCACAGCTGCTAGACGCCATCAGGATTCAAATCTAGGTCGGTTTTATGCCAACATCCACTACCAGCTACACTAACACGTCCACAGCGACTGTAGAGTGTCTCTCAACCACTTTCAGTGGTTCTGTGAGCTAAGGGGACAACAGAGGCAAAGAAGGGTTAGGAGTGACTTGGCCAGAGTCTAAGAAGGATTTTGATAAGTTAAAAAATTCCAAACTTCTCCCAGTTTTCTCTTCTTAAAAAGCCATATCAGTAATAATAGTGAAAAGGCAGTCTAGCAGTCCATTAGTAGAAGACATCCCAGGTACACAGTTGCTTTTAGGCTTGTATAGTTACTTTCTACATTTACTAACACACATGATGATAAAGGATCCTTTTCTAAACGGCATTGCAGGGTCTAGATCAAGAGGACTTGTTCTACCTATTTATGAAACAAACAGGCAGAGAATATACTTGTGGTTGCCAAGGGGTATGGGGAGTGGGGGAGGGATGGGTTTGGGAGACTGGGATTGGCAGATGCAAACTATCATATATAGAATGGATAAACAACAAGGTCCTACTGTATAGCACAGGGAACTATATTCAGTATCCTGTGATAAACCATAATGGAAAAGAATATGAAAAAGAATGTATATATGTATATAACTGAATCACTTTGCTGTATAGCAGAAATTAACACAACATTGTAAACCAACTATACTTCAATAAAATAAAAAAGAAATGGAAAAAGAGGACTTGTTCTAGTTACAGAAACCTTGCTCTGCTCTCAACCACTGGGGATGCTTATTTTTCTTGTTTTGTGAATTCGCCTGTCTTGCTGTAAGCTAATTTCATGGCTGTGGGAGGTTGGAGAAAGTAGGTTGATGACTCTAAAGACCACTGCACCACCAGGGAAGCCCGACACTGGACTTTAAGAGGGTTCGAATTAGAATGTGGGGACTACAGTAAGGGAACCTTCAGTTACCAGTTCTGTCCTAAAGCACTCTGTTGGACAACAGGACTAGATCCTAAAGGTCCTTCAGGGAGCTCTGCCCTGGGAATGGAACAGTTGATGCAATAACCCCATTGTATGGAGATTGGCTCAACTGGGTTGTATTGGTTTTGTTTGGTTTGAAGGCAACTTGTGTAAGCCTTCAATTGCATCCACCTTGGGAACCAGGTATACCCTTTTCTTTAGCACTGCTGTTCTTTTTGTCTTCAGCAGGAATAAGATGCTCAAGTGAGCCAGAGGTAGGAAGAACCAGTTTAGTCTTCACAGCTGTGGGCCAGGAGAGATCGTGAGTTGATGGTATATTTTACCCTCGAGAGTAATTTTTCACAACAGGAACCTTGCACAGTAAAATGAGTAACAGCAAAGTATTTATTTGCTGCCTTCTGTCTTTTCATGATAATGTGCTAATGTAACGAGGTTTGTTCATATTTTACTCAGCCAGAGTCTCATTCATTGGCTAAGCATTGGGAATATCATGTAGATTGATCTTAAACATAAATCAGTCCTTGAGGGTGTCCTATATTTGGATTGTGATTTGTAGACTCAAGCTAATCTCATTGCCTCTTTTTCATACTTGTTGAAAAGTCTGTGAAGGACATAGTAAGTTAAGATCTCCAACTTTGGAAAAGGCGCACAATGTGAAACTGGACTGCTGTGTTAAAGATAAATTTATGATAACTAAAAAAAAGAAAACAGAAAAACAGGAAAGAGGCAGTAAGTAATCTTAGAAGTAGTATTGTAATATGAGGAAAAAGGGTGGCTGGCTGATTCAGACCAGTAGGCAGCCTCCTGTCGTCCTCATCAGGCCTTGGGAGATGCTCACAGTTTTTGATTCTCCAACTCTCACTTTTTGTTTCTCTTCTCACTGAGTTAAATCTTCTGTTAGTACATTACCTTAGTTTAACTTGCTGATGTTTCTAAGATTATAGTTTATCTTGCTATATTTATGCCAATGTTGGTTGATTCCTGCTCTCTTAATTTGTATTTTATTCTTTAACCTTATGGAATTTTGTAAATTGCAAAAGTAGAATATACCTGTCATACCAAGAAAAACAGTATAGAAGTGTATTAAAGAAAATTAAGTCCCCCTGCGCATCCTCTGAGGTAACGTTAGAGCAACCAACCTTAGAGCTTGGGGTGTGTGTGTGTGTGTGTGTGTGTGTGTGCGTGCGCGCGCGCCTACATCTTTCCTGCAGTCAAATGCTCTTCCACTGAACTATACCCCCTCTGCTGTGTGCATCTTTCCTCGTCTTTTTTCTTAATGCTCAGACAAATATTCATTTGTATGGATTTTCCCCCTCTCTCCCTCCCTTCCTCTCTTCTAAAGAAAAAAGATAATTCCATTGGAAGGGTATAAAAAAAACCCTGATAATCAGATTATCTCTAGGGAAGAAAACTGGGAGAGGTAGGAACAGAGGTGGAAGGGAGATTGACTTTTGACTGTGTGCCCTTTTGTACTGTTTGCTTTTTCCCCTCTTTTCTTTTTACCACGGGTATGTATTATCCATTAAAAAAAAAATCTCTCCGCCATCATCAATTTTGCCTGAAACATCCCCATTAGCTGCAGTGTTTCTGGTGATACTTGCCTTGCCATGAGGGAGGTGTTGGTTTTGAAATGTTGAACAACTCTTGGTGCAGTTCTGAATGAAACAAAATACAGTCTGCTTTCTATTTACATGGTAATTGCATTCTTGGGAAATTCTGTGTACATAAACACTGTGAGAAAAATGTTTTGTATTTTAGAGTTAAGCAGAGTTAAGTTTTCAACTCTGATAATTAGAAACAGCTTTTCCACCTACATGGATGCCTGGTGGGATCTTTGAAAGCCATGAAGGATGCAGGACAGTCTGGTGCATTGCAGATATGCAACATCCTTGCCCTGCCCATTAAATGCCAGTAGGGTACCCCAATCACTCTGGCTCCCCTCTCCCCAGCGTCCAAAATGCCCTCTAGGGGACAGTGCCATTCCTTTTGAGAACCACTGTTCTAGCTGCTCTCTCTGGAAATTTCTTTCCTCAGATATTTGCAGAGCTGGTTCCTTGTTATCTCCTGTTAGAGGGCTCGCCTGACCACCCAGTCTACACAGCCCCCGTTCGCTCTGCCACATCGCCCCATTTCAATTCTCTGTATAGCATTTATCCCTAACTGCTCTTTTTCTTTTCTCGGTTTATTGTCTGTTTCCAGCTACCAGAACGTAAGCTCCATGAGGGAAGGGATGTTGTCTCTTGTTCACAGCTGTGTCCCCTGTGCCTGGAACACTGGCTGGCACATAGTTAGTGCTCAGTAAACATTAGTTAGATGAATGAAGGATGGAAGGAAGGAAGGAAGAAAGAAAGGAAAGAAGGAAGGAAATCTTCAGTTCTACAAGTTGGAAAAGATTAGCAGAACATAATGTCTTCACGAAATTATTTATTTAGGTCATATATGATAAATAGCAAAAGATTAACTGATTCACAAGATTGGTAGATTTATCAATTCCCAGTGAATAATATAAGCTTTGTCAGAAATTGGATGCTTGCCATTTTAAATTTCCAGCCACATCTGTAATTCTAAAGTGAACTGTGATATTTGACAGAGACTCCTTGTCCCCAGTCATCATTTTCACCATGTCTTGAGCAGCAGTTTTGGCAAGTGTGTCAACAATGACTTCAGCAGCCCTGACCTTTACAGTTAAATATAACACTATAAAGTGTGGCTTCCATAGCTTTTGCATTTCTCTCCCTTGGCACACTGTATTTAACTTTAAGCAATGCTTGAACCTCCTTCCATTCTGCTTCAAAATTTTTGCTGATGTTGAGGCAGGAAGGGTTCATATCAAAATGTGTGAGCCTTTTCCTTCTCTCGTTCTCTCACTCATTTATTCATTCCACAAATGTTTATTGAATACTTACTCTGTATCAGGAACTATGTTGGGGATACATATTTCACATAATGGAATTTAATTTGCTCCCATTACCAGGCTATGGTAATTCAAATTACAATGGCTTTTTATGGTAGTCACCTAATAGTTTTAGTTTCTTTGCAGCTGGTATTTTTAAAGCACTAAGAGATGGTCCAGGTGATGAAATGATACACCTTTAATATCTATCTGAAGACCTAGGGCTAAACTCATCACATTTTTTTTTATTTTGGCCACGTGGCATGTGGGGTCTTAGTTCCCTGACCAGGGATCGAACCCGTGCCCCCTGCAGTGGAAGCGTGGAGCCCTAACCACAGGACTTCCAGGGAATTCCCTAAACTCATCACATTTTAATCACCAGCTCCACCTCTACACTTTTTGCCATTTATGTACAGTAAAATTACCTTGTTTCGGTGTAGAGTTAGTTATATGAGTTTTAACGCATGTAT